CAAGTGCTTTATACACATTTAAGCATCCATGCCTTTGTTGGGATTCAAATATGGTTTTAAGGCTGCGTCACTTCCACTACCAACAAGCTAACATGGCAGTCTGTTTTTTTTTGGGGGGGGTGACCTTTTTGAATGTATGTATAAATTTCAAAGCTGTATCTCTTAAAGTTTTAAAGTTAAATTGCTGCAGCAAAAGGAATCTTTAGAAAGCTGTTTTTTCTTGTATCATAACCCTACTAAATATCAAATTCTAGTGAACACTCGTGTCCTGACTGTCTTTCTGAAGCAGACATCTGTGAAAGTAATCATTTTTTCTAAAATCAGAAATGTATCTTGGCACCGAATATGACTTTTCTAAGAAGATCACTTTCATAGAAGATATCTGTAATCCTAAGTGATTGTCTTAGAAAGTTTTTTCATCGAGAAAGCATAATTTCATTTTGACTATGGTAAATGTTTTCTAAATAGAAAATATATATTTGTAACAGTCTTTTCAGTAAGAAAAGAATGGAAAAAATCACAGAATTTAAAAACTTTTTTGACAGTACTTACCTTTAAAACGAAAAGACTGTTGTATAAAGTAATAATATGGGTAACAACATTGGAACTTATATCCATGTAAAGAATTATTTGGTACATGTTGTTTTACAGCAAAACCATACACAAACTTATATTCATTTAGTGGTATTTTCTAATTAACTGTCCTGCCTCCCCCAAAAGTCTCTAACTGTTAATGATTAGTTTTTCAGCAAGCTAAGAAGTAAAAGACAGCAGCCATTTTCAAAAATGCCATTGCATTAAGAATTACATAAAACAACAAACAAAATTAAAGTGCAAGAAATATCCATACTAAGACACTTAACTTTGCTTTTGTGTGTGTGTGTGCTGTTCTTTCTGTGTAACCCTTTAGCTTCAAAAAACATCAGATTGCAAACTTTGTATCATGCACAACTTGACATTGTACCTACTGTTATTCTCCTCATGTATGCAGCAATATGTTTCGGCATAAAAAAGCATCAAAGAATTGTGCAAACTCGACATTGCATTTAACTCTTCACTTTGCATGCTGTTTTTTCTGCCCATGCACACATAAAAAAATCGGAGAATTGCACAGGTTTGGCAGCAACCTTGTTGTGATGATGTCAGATGCTGATATTTCTTTCAACTATCAGTCAGTGCAGAGTTGTGAGGCATGTCGGTTGTGTCAAAAGCAGTTGTGTAAGAACTACGATCCTGAAGTAAGCATGTCAGTGTCGGAGGACATATTACGGCTGTGTTTAGTTGAGGAATTCAATTTGAAAAATATACTTCATATTTGAAGGGATATGAATGAGCCATTGCACCTAGCAAAAATAGTTCAGTCAATTTGCATTGGAAGATGCGAGCCTCTAGGACAGCCCTTAAATTGGACCTCCATCGAGATCATTGAAGCCTTGCTGAAGGAGGACATTGAGCAGTCTCTATGTCGAATGTGTAAGGAACTTGCACAAGGGTTTTGTGTGCCGGAGCAAACCATTCAATAGCAAATACACAACTTTGCAAAGACCATTGAAGCTCAATAAATGAGTTCCCCACGTTTTGACTGAGGAAACGAAACTCCAGGTCTCGCCATTTGCTTTTCATTGCTGTCGTGCCACAAGAAAGCCCTATTCTAGGTATTGACGTGACAAGAAATGGATGTTTTACAACAACTGTGAAAGAAAACATTGATTGTCCTGTGGTTTTCTGTCATTTGTCCCAAACGAAACATTCATTAACAGAAAATACTGCTCTGTATACTTTCATGAACTGGCTCTGGTATTTTGCACTTTGAACTGCTAGAAGAGCGACATAACCATTCGCAGCCAAGATGTACTCGTATCCTAATTGTAAAGAATTGCAGCTGCACTGGATTTGGAAGCAACCAATATTAGTTAACAAGAAAGGAATGATCATTTTTCAAGACAGCACCAGGCCTCATATGGCTAAAATGACCTAAAAAGTAATCAACAGTATTATTTAAAAAGGTTTACTTCATCCTCCTTACTTGTTGGAAATCGCTATATCCTATCATCACGTGTTTTTGCTCATCGATAACCATTTGCATGACCAACAGTTCTGAAGCTGAGATGATGTCATGAAAGCCCTTGGACACTCTTTTGCACTAAGAACAGGAACTTTTACAAAAGCAGAATTTATAAACTTGTAATTTGTTGGGAACATGTAATTGAAACTAAAGCAGATATTTTCCTGAACAAAATGCATTGGCATGAAACTACAGGGTCGTTATTTCTCGCTGAAAACTATGGCACAAATTATTTTTTAGATACCTGGTAGTTGGATTTATAGACATTTTTTTCTTTAGACTCTTTATTCTGTAGGGACTATATGAAGAGCTAACTTTTATATTTAATGAGCTATTTTGTTCCTGTTGTTAAAACCATATGTATATTTATTTGCTACTTTATTTAAAGAAACTGTAGCTCATTCAGAAAAGGATAAAATCTGTACCCACTTTTTTTTTAATATTCTGTATATAATCAGCAAAAGTGTTTATGATGTTTTATTTCTAATTAAGAAATTGAGATCAGAGCATTAGCTTGTATGTAATTTAAATTGCCCATTTTAACTAAAAACTTAGTGACAGAAAAAAAATTTTTTATTAAAAAGAAGTCAGTATTTTTATTGATACTTTCTGATTTTCCCCACTCTCTCTGAAGAGCCATAAAAAAATATTGATGAGGCAATGCATCATGTGGCAAAAAAAGCATTTTTGTGGGAACCCAGATATGCACATTGGACACATGTGTTTGAATGCACATGCAGAGCCGTACCTTGGGTTTACAGCTCCCAGAGAAAGTGAAGATTTTGCACTCCTTTTTCTGTGTGCCAAGAATGGAAAACATTTCATTCTGAAATTTCTTCACATCAGTTTGTATCTCCTGGATGATGCGCTCAGGGACAAATGTCCATTCACCAACTTTCTTGGTTTTATGGCAGCCAAATATTGTTGGTTAATGTGATAATACTTAAGTGCCAATGTTTTTGTGAATTTCCTAGAAAAAAAAATTAGAGATAGTATTATATTAGCTAATGTTTAATTAATTGTGGATTATTATCACCTATTTCAGGTAATTTTTTTACATCTATGTCTGACATGGAGTCAGAAAAATGGTTCCAGGTTTATGAAATCTGTCTCCTTGAGATTAGCTGAATCAGTCCCCCTTTTTTTTTTTTTTTTTTTTTTTTTTTTTTTTCAAAATAGCATTTAAAGTTTGATTAGTTAATATAACCTTAGTTTTATTGTTTCAATATAAATAATTTAATGTAAAAAGTTTATTACAAATGAATTCATTTTGTGAATGTGTTTTATTTGTTTCTTATATGAGGTATTTAGAAAAATTTATACCTTGAAATATTTTTATATATTTATGTATATAAGTGTATATATATGTTTACTATAATAATTAAAAAAAAAACCCATCTTAAAAGGCTTAATGTATTTGCTTTTGTAAGCTTAATGTAAGGCTTAATGTATTTGCTAAGTTCTTTCAAATATATATGTAGTAGATGCTGTAGTTGTATAGACGGAACAAAGGATTATTGTATTCTGTAGTGTGAGGTTCATTTTTTTCAGGCGTTTCTTTCAATCAATGCCTACATGACACTTCTTATTTTTTGTTATCCCCGCCGGTCAAGAAAACAATCCCTGCATAACAAAAAAAAAAATGTCGACGGTCCTCCAGTCAAAAAAAATCGAACCGTCTCTTCCGACATCCAGTGTGAGAAAGTCCCCTTTGTACTCACTTTCCTATTTGTTCTTTACTTTTTTCTTGTTTTTTGATTGCTTCCATCCAACAAACTATCTGGCACTTGCCAGTGATTGGTCTGTCAGACTAATTATTTCTCTGTCCAGGCTTTTGCCTTTTCTTCATTGGGCTATGGGCATTACAATACAGTCAAAAGTCTTTAATCCGGACGTCCATAATCCAGAATGATCTATAATCTGGACCTCAAAGCTATAAACTTTCTGCGCATGCGTCAACACATAATGCATTGACGCATGGGCATAAAACCTTTACGCATGCGCATATGCATTTACGCATGCACGTTTAATGTATAACGAACAGTAAAAGCTAAAATTATCAAATTATCTATTTCAGTTAATGTTGCAGATTGTGTTGTTCCTTAATCTTCAAATTGGATCCGACTTATTATTTTTTGCAGACTGTTAGAAGCAATTTATAAAAGTAAGCTTGAACTTTCGATTAGTCAAATAGAATTTCCGATATATATTTACTAATATGTAAAGATCTACAAAGCGAAAGTATGTTTCGAAGTCCATTAAACAAAAAGTGGAATTGCTGCCAAAAAATGGATAAAGGCATATCCTCTGTTTCTCTAACCATTCCGAAATCTGTTTATCAATTTCACGCTGCTCTGTGGAGGGGGGAGGGGGAGGTGCAATGAACTGGAAGTTGATCTGTCAGCACTATCCTTATCTTCAGGGCAGATGTTTTTATTTTATTTGGCTTATAATTCCTTACTAAATGTACTATTTCATCTCTATGTACTCCGTCTCTGATATGATTTTAATCAAATTCCTCATCATTATAAATATCACAGATATACATCAAATAGTTTTCTGGTTGCAATTTTCTAATTTTGACTATGCGTTACGCATAGTCATGTATGCTTTACGCATACGCGCATTGAAAGAAATGTTTAATAAAGTAAACAAATAAATATTAAGCTTTTTTTTGTAAATTTTGATACCCTTTAGATCGTAATTGCTCTTTATTTCATAAATTTCAGTTTCATATTTTTAATTTTATAATTTCTGCATGCCATCTTACCAGATTTAAACTGATGATCTATAATCGGGAAAAACTGATAATCCGGACTCGCCGAAGTCCCGACGAGTCCGGATTAAAGATGTTTGACTGTATATAAATATATATTTGGCTTTAATGAAGTACATGTGTTGTTCAGTTTTCCGATAACATGTTTTAATTTTGTAGATGACGATGATGATGACCAGACGTCTGGAGTTACTGAGTTACCTGATATTACGGAGCATAGAGTGATATATTTAAATTCCTTGCAAAAATTGAAGTTCTGTAACAATAGGATAAGGTAAAATGAATGATTTTTAATATATTTTCGTAAAGATAAGGTAAAATACATGATTCTTAATGCATTTAATTTCATTCTCTGCCAGCAGGATAATAAATAATTGGTATGAAATTAATTTTATCCTTTTTTTATATATACAAAAATAAAAATATAAAGCCTTCAAAAATAAATGCATAAAACCAGCCAGGCAGAAATAAATATGTAAAGAAGTGTGTATATGATATTTGTTTGAAATGGATTATTTCCTTCAAGATGACAGATGTAGTAGCTTTCAAGATATGAGCATTAATTATTACAAGATATGTACATTGAATTATTTTGAATGTAATAATTCAGTCCTGATTTTACATTATGCTGATTTAGATGAGCACGTAGGGATGCCAAGATTTGGAAAGGCATTTGTGTTTGTTATAAATAAATAAAAATCAAAGTGTTAAATAATTTTGTTTCTTAAACTGTAGCTCAGTATACTTTGGTTTTATATAAAATCAGGTAGCTGTGTAAGAAGTTAACAAAACTATGGATACAGGTAGTATAATTGATTAAAAATTTTAATGTAGTATTAGTTTTCAATTTTTGATACTGTGTTGAATTTGCTGAAAAAGTCAAATGGATGTTTGAGATGACTAGTTTTTACTATTAGGCTAAAAACTTTTATTTGTTTATTTATTTATGTTTTATAAAACTTTTATTTGTTTATTAATGTTTATTTATGTATGTAAGAACATTAGCTGCAGTAAACAAGAAGAATGAATGGGAAATCTTGGTTTAAAAAATTATAATTACTTCTGAACTGCTTTAAAGTGCTTTATATTAAAAATTAATTCAAAACTTCACCAATACCTCCTAAGTTAATTTTTTTATTTGAGATGTTATCATATTTTTCCTGTACAGTTATTTGGAGTAATCATTAGGCATCGTGATTCAGAAGTATTACTAAAAAATCTACATGTATTGCTAAACTACATGTAGGTCAGGAACATGATAATAAGCAAGAATTATGTAGAAACGTACAGTCGCAAACTCAATTTAGGCGCGCTACATGCCCACAGAGGCAGAGACTGAAAGATACGAGACAGGTCACAAATAATGATAATTTGTTACACAAAGACAAATTTATACAACATTTTAGTGTACAAGAAAGTTTTAAAACAGGTGTTCAAAGTTGTGGCCTGCAACTATAATACACATCTTGCAAAGATGGCACAGCATTCAATGAACTTTTGTAAAAATTCCCCGTGAATTGGCAATAATCCCACTTGCAGCAATGATTCATGCTATCAAATCCTTTTCCGATTCCACAGGGGTTTCATATGCTCATAACACCAAATTAAAAATTCCACGGGATAGGTGTGGTGAATGAGGTGGCCATGGGATGGGTCCAATGTAGCCAATCCATCGACTTAGAAATGCAACATCCAGATATTGGCGGGTAATGGGGGAATAATACACTGGGGCTTAATCATTTTGAAACCACATTTATTGCTGCACGTGGAGTGGTATGTCGCTCAGCAGTTTTGGCAGGACTTAATCAAAAAGATGGAACGAGTTTCTCCATCTAGTGTTGATGGAAGCAAGTAGGGACCAATCATTCTGTCACCAAGCAAATGTGCCCAGATATTGATACTGTTGCGATGCTGAGCAGCATGGGCAGTGTGGCTCTTGGATTTTCATTATGCCTACTGCAGATTGCTTCATCAACATTGCTTCATCAGTAAAGTTGGGGACTGCTGCAATCTGTTGTATAAACCGATGTGCATTGTCCACATGCTACTCGTAATCATCAGTGGAGAGAGCCTGCACACATTGCATGTGGTATGGATATGACTCAACCTCATGTAAGATATGCCAGATGCTGGTTTGAGACACTCATATTATATGTGCTGTATACTTCTAGTACTTGTCCCTGGGTCGTTTTCGATGTCTGATAGCATAGATTCTTTCAAGCTATGTGTTTGCATTGTTCTATCAACACCAATGTCATTCATTTCTGTTTCGAAATGTCCAGTTTCACTGAAATGATTATGTAGACATCCAAACATAGTATGACCAGGGATACATCTGTTGGAAAACCAAAAATGTTACAGTTCTCTAGCGGCAGCTCCATTGCATTTTTACGCTCATACACCCAAAATACACTTCATCCTAGCTAGGTTTCTTCATGACTTCTAGCATCTTCTTGTGTGTCTGAGTTTTGCATGCCATCATATGTTTCTATACGATTCTTGCCTGTTATCGTGTTCCTGACCTAAGCGCAAATTTTTGAAGAACAGTACTGAATCACCCTGTATACAAAAATATTAACAGTGAATAATTAGTTTTAAATATTCAAAATGATACTTTGTTTTAAAAATATCAACATGTGTAGTGTATAATAATGTGCAGGAACCCATAATTATTTTTTCTTAAGTTTATCACATATTCGTATGCTGACCTTTAATTCCTTGAAATTGTTTTAGTGTGCTTGTTGGTTGCAGATAAAAGTGTTCTCTTCTGAGAACCATTTAAAAAATTTTTGGCTGTTGGCTTGATATACGTTGTTAGTATTCATACAAAGTGGATAAATGACGGTGAAACCAGCAGTCGACACCAACTGTGGTAGAACAGACTATGAAAGTTGCTGCACTTTTGCAATTATCTGAACATAATTATAGATCAATTGCATCCTACATGACACCTACTGGCAATGGAATCTTCCAGCTTCCCCATGTCACAAGGCTCTAATTGTGTTGGAATGGTTCAAGGAACATAAGGATGAATCACAATGTCCTAACCACCTAACTCGCCAGATCTTAACCCAATAGAGCACATTTGGGATGTCATGGAGTGGCAGCTCGGAGCTCAAACACTACCATGTCGGAATATCTCGATTTTGTGTGACCGCTGTTTAGACATTAGATACATCTGCCTCCAGCCGTCTAGCAAGAACTTGGCATCCATGCCAAGGCGAGTTGCTGTTTTTCAGGCCAAAGGTTGCACAACATGTTATTGAGTAGGTGGTTATAATGTTTTGGCTCTTCATTGTAAGAAGATGCCTCTTAATTTTTGGTTGCATCATGGATTTAAATATTGAAAGCTGTGTATTAAATGTAGCTTTAGTATTTCTTAAATGTGTTCATTAATATATTATTGTCTCTTTATTGTGGTTTCTTCTTTTGTGTGTCTCTTTATTGTGTTATTCTGTGTCTGTTAGTATTATAAGATTTATTTAAGATTTTAATGTGTTAAAGAAATATGCCTTAAATTTTCTCATCAGAAAATGTTAAATTATGTTTGCTCATGAATCAAATGAAAAGTTCTGTAATTAAAGATGTATTTTATGATTAGAAAATAGTATCTGCCATTTGTGATTATTGTAGGAAAGTATATTTTGTAAACTAATTATAATTGTTACATTCTCAGTAAATATGATTTTCCATGTAATTAATTTGCTGGGAGGTAATCAGAGTGTAATTGGTATGAAAAAATATTTTGTTGTTATAAAGTATCTGAAACTTGCAGGTTCTTCATAAATATTTAATATATCATCACATATTTTATAATTGAACGCTAGTGTTTTTTATCCTACTAATTTTATACTTTATTTTCAGCACAGCAAAATATAATGTTATTTCTTTTTTGCCAAAGTTCCTGTTTGAGCAGTTTAGACGTTATTCAAATATATTTTTCTTATTTATTGCTTTGCTGCAGGTGAGAAATATTTCTATATTTTTAAATGTTATATCTGAATTATCGGGCAAATTTCTTTATATTTCTGTTACTAATATAAGATGATATTTAGCTTAAGAATGATTTGAAAATATTATGCATTTACATATTTGCCACTTATCAGACAGGAGTAAATGATTTATTTTCATATCTGTACGTTTACCATAAAGAGATCAAAATTCACCAGTTTAGTAATCCTTTCTAAAACATAATGTGTAAAACAGCTTAAAATGTAGAATTGTAGAGTAATAGATTGGAATGATTATTTATATAGTCTGCTTCATTATTGGAGAAACATTAAAACAAAAGATGATGATAGATAATGGATTGTTGGAATAAAAAGTTGCTCATTGTATTATTTTACTTTTATTTACTATTTATTTAATCTTAGATTGTATTTTTTGTATTACTTTCGTAAATTGTTTCTATCTTTGTCACAAGTTTTGATTGGGGTATTCTTGCAAATGGTCTCTATCAATGTATTTGAGATACTTTTGTAAAGACAGCAATCTTCTTGAAGGATTAATCATTACTGTTAACATTTACCTCTCAATGACACGTAAATGTGTGTTATTTTAGAAATGGTGGATATATTAAGTGTTTGTGAAATATATTAAAATAACCTAATCAGTTAATCTCTACTTCAGCATAATAAAATTTGGCGTTGTTTAGATGCAAAATTTATTTGTTGTGAATTTTAAAATATGGTACAATTGTGAGTAACCTTGTATTAAAATATATTTAGACTGTTTTGTATACTAATCTCTTTTTGATTGCTCAACAGAGTTCATATGCCTGACCCGAATTCTTATAATTTTTCATTTCAGCAAATACCCAATGTGTCTCCAACTGGTCGTTACACAACAGCCGTTCCTTTGATTTTTATACTAAGTATATCAGCTATAAAAGAAATTGCTGAAGATATCGTAAGTATGCTTTTATATTTAACTTGAAAATTATATTACATAATAACTGCATTCATGGAAACATTTGTGTTTTATGAGAGTTATTTGTTTTAAAGCTAAATAAATAGTTGTAAACTTAGTGCAATTTGTCCAATTGAAAAACAGACATGTAAAAATGCATCAAAATATTTGGTGTAAAAATATTATATATATCAGCAAAAATACTTTTTAAAATGCTCTTAAGAAGAAGAAGAAATTAGATAAATTAATAAATACACTTTTTACAGAAATCTTAACCAGTATAGTTTTCCTTGAATTAGATCCCTTCATCAAATCCACCTTTACATTCTGTGCATGTGCTAGATCAAGGATGTCAAACTCGCGGCCCACAACAAATATTTTTGAGGCCCGGCCAATATATCGGCAAATAAAAATATATAATAATAAAATAACATATCGACGAAAAAAAAAATGAAATGTTTACTGCTAAGTAATTAACGATAATTTATTCAGTGTTGTTAGATTACTCACAGCGAGCTGACACACACACACACTACTTAAATTACAAATGCGTGTGAGTAGCTTGCGTTCAGCTACCTTCGGATTTTGGGGGACACGTGCACTCAGAACTTGTACGCATCCCCCCGATAGCCGAATGTGGCCGAACTCATGGTCTCAGTTTTCCAATCATAGTTTTGTACGATATATTGGTGCATGCATGTGCATGCGCTTTGCTTTATTATTAATTATTACTTAATTCATATTGTTATGGATTTCATAGTTATTTATTTATTTTAGTTTTTTTTTTTTTTATATTTTAATTGTAATTAGATTTGTTTCATGTTGCCTTAGCAACGCAGACGATTTTTGAAAAGACAGCTGCATTGGAAGGTTAAAAATAGAACAGCGCGTGCATTTAATACCTAATAAATAAATATCTCGTAATTGCTGTTGCCATCCACAAAAATCCAGATATTTATAGATGTTTCCAGTATATTTGAGAAATTAATTATAAAGCTTATAAAAGCCGAGAATAAACAACTCATCTCAGTAGTAGCTGTAGTTCTAGCGAACTGTTGTTTACTTAATGCTGTGATTGATTTGTAGCAATTTTGCTGTGAGATAGAATTAGTTTCTCTGTTTTGAATTGATTTTTGCTAAACGTTTGACATTTTGTGATATTGTTAGAATATTTTTGAAGAAATATTTCAGCATTTTGATTTATCTCTTGTGGAAAGAATAAATTTAATTTTTTAACGTTAACCGTGTTTATTGCAGCCCTTTGTATTCAGAATGTCTATATCAAAACCAAGTGGTAGTAAAATTAAACGAAAAATTGCTGACGAACGTAGAATATTCCAAGTAAAATGGGAATTAGAATATTTTTGCTGTGAAATAAAAGATAAAATAATCTGCTTGATATGTAATAATACTATTAATGTACCAAAGTTATATAATATTACGTCATTACGAACAACACAAATCGAAATATAACAATTACGAAGGATTAATGAGAGAAGAAAAGTTGAAAGAGCTCAAGTTAGGAGTGAAAAAGCAACAGTCCATGTTTAGTAAAGTATTGCAAGAAAGTGAAGCGGCAGTACATGCAAGCTACGTCTTATCCGAGTTGATAGCTAAACATTTGAAGCCTTTTACTGACGGTGATTTCATCAAGGAATGCCTAATGAAAGCTGGAGAAGTTGTTTGTCCTGGAAATGTGAAGGCTTTTCAATCAATTTCATTGTCTCAAAATACAGTTGCGGAAAGAGTTACTGAATTAGCCGCGAATTTAAGTGATCAGATCAAAGCAAAATCATCTAGTTTCGAAAGTTTCTCCATTGCCTATGACGAGAGCACGGACATTAGTGGCAAAGCTCAATTAGCAGTGTTTCTTCGTTCTTGTGACAAGAAGTTTAACATTTTTGAGAACTACTGGAACTATTACCGATGCCTGGTACTACCACAGGAGAAGATATATTTACTTGTGTTTTTGGACTTTAGACTGCAGAAATACAATCTACCTTTGGCAAAATTAAATTCTGTAGCTACAGATGGCTCTCCATCAATGACCGGGAAAAACAAGGGCTTCGTAGTGTTACTAAGAAAAAAACTTAGTAAAATTCACGGTTCAAACATTCATCATATGCATTGTATTATACATCAAGAAGTTCTATGCACGAAAGTAATAAATATGGGGAATGTTTTGTCATGTATAAAAAAAGTTATAAATTTTATAAGATCTCGAGGTTTAAATCAGCGTCAATTCACTGCTTTCTTAAGTGAGTTAGATAGTGAATATTCGGGTTGTCCTACTATACCGAGGTACGTTGGTTATCTTGCTCCAAGATTCTCAAACAATTCTGGGATTTGAAAGAAGAAATATGTCATTTTTAAAAACGAAAAATCAAGACGTAAGTTGTTTTTACGATCCAATATGGTTACAAGATTTATCTTTCTTGTTTGATACAACCAAACACTTAACCGATTTAAATTTATCGTTACAAGGAACGATCATATCATTACGAACATGTTTTGACATAATTAAAGCATTCAAATGTCGACTAGTTTCTTTGGGAAAACAACTTAAAAATGAAGATTTGATGCACTTCCCGACGTGCAGCATGAAGAAATCAAGTTTATGATAGATACTTCTTCGTATCAAAAATACGCAGAAAAATTGCAAATTTAACAACTGAATTTGAAACGAGTTTAACGATTTTAGTTCCCTCAAAGACAATTTTTTTTTTTTTGTTTTCTTCGATTTTCTCAATAAGTATTGACCAGTACGCAGCCATATGCAAATGGAGGATATCGAGATTCAATGCAACTCAAATTTGAAAGCAAATTCATTGAGTGGGCGTGCCTGAATTTTACAAATATTACCAGCCATGTTTGAAAATACTCGAAATTCGCATATGAAATTAAATTTCCATGTTTGTAGCACTTATCGGTGCGAGCAGTTATTTTCAGTCATGAAGGTATAAGTCTCCTATTAGAAACCGTATAATGATGCTCACCTTGGGTCAGCGTTGAAAGTTATCACTGCAAACAAAATTTCTCCCGAAATAGGAAAGATAATAGCAGAAAAGATGTCGAGTATCAGGATGTAAACATTAAATTTTCTTGTTGTTTTTCTATATAAATATATATATATATATGTTATTATTGTATTATTCGAAATAAATCTACGTTTCTATGAATATTGATTTTTTTTTTTGCGGCCCGCCTAAAGTTAAACCTTGTTTGTTTGGCCCAAGTGTACCTATGAGTTTGACATCCCTGTGCTAGATCAATAACATTATTAACTGCTTACGAGAATTGTGAGAATTGAAATTTTGGTTTTATTGAAAGAAAATCTGTGTGTTTGTACAATATTTACCATGTTTTTATTTTTAATGCCTGATTAATCTCTGTAAGAGGCATTTTCAAGAATTTATCCCTATTCACTGGACAAGTTTGCATTCCTTCTGTGGAATATAAACAAACCAGCTGTAAGGTGCATTTCATTTGAAACTTAATGTCCTGAAAGCTGTGAATAAATTTATTTGTTATACATATTAGCCATACGAATTTCAGTACTAAAAGACAATGGAATATTGTCACAAAAGCAGTGATTTATCTAAAACGAAAAATTTGTAAGTTCATGATCTGTGTACTGTAGAAAAAGTCCAGTAGAAAATGTAGAAAAATAACTTCAGTAATGAAAACAAATTAGCCTCTAATCAAAATATGTTATAAATACAGTGTACTTTTGTAATATATATATTTATATCAGAAGAAATTTACCATGCTAAATTTTTTTTAAATCGATTTTTTTTAACACATCCAAAAATAAACATGGATAACAGGCATTTACAGATTAAGTGATATCAAAATTAATGAAATTTTAATGTATTCACAGATGATTGAGTTCCAGGTATAGATTTGTGCAATATAGACTTATTATCTTTCTCACTTTTTTTTTTTTTTTTTTTTTAAGCAAAAGTATCATTTAGAGATTGCATAAATTTAAAATTTAGATTATGGAGAGAAGTCAATTCATGCTAAAAGATAGATATCAGAAATATCCCATATTGACAAAACTGAATATGTTTTAATTTGATTCTGTATATTAGAAGTGTAAAGTTCGTTTAATTCTGTCAGTCATTTTTTTTTCCTCTTGCTGATAAGTTATTAAATGGGTGAAAGAAAAACTGAAAAATAGAAAGCAAAAATATCCAGTATTAAAAAAAAAACAGATTAAAAAATCTGTTTTAATTTGCTTCCTTGTACCTGTTCATTTCATGAAAGTTCATTTAATTAAATGAATGATATAATGACAGAATGTAGAATATCCTTAAATGGTGGTAGCCTAGATATTGCATTGACTGTGAAATGTTATATATTCTCTGATACTTGCCAAATCAACGAATCTCCTTCTAGCAGTTCCTTATCTCTAACGTCTGTTAATATGCTTAACCTCTAATCTAATATTTAAATGGTTAAAGTGAAAAGCCAAAATGTCGACGTGCTTACTGAACTTTCAAGTACTAGCAACGAAAAACATTAGCACAGCTGTTTTCCAAAAATGAAACACCCAACAAAAAGAAAAGCTAAACATAGCAGTTATTTTTTTCAAATATTCAGAAACCAGAAAGGCAGGCAGCTGTATGAAATGAAGTTGAATATAAATTAATTTTGGTACTTCTTTGTAGAGTGGCTCCTAATAATGTGTGGTGATTTTAGATTTGTGCCAATATCTCAGCTATAATTTTGCCAGGCTCATGAATTGTGAATGTAAAAATAAGCACCACAAAATATAATTATAACAATAATACTCACTTACTGTTTCTAAGAATATTTTTAAGAATCTTTATTATTGTTATTTTATCACTTGTCTGATGTTTAGTAAGCCCAAGCCCACAATATTCCTCATGGCTAGGTGTGCAAAATTACGCCTATCACTGGCAACAGCCTTGAGCACTATATGAACCATACAGGTGACAGTACGACTTGGTTCAGTTCCACCCCAATTTTGATGG